TTGAAAAAGAGACGAGATGGGGCTCATCAGGGCCATTTCCTCGGCTGATGCGGGGCTCCCGGGGAACCCTCTCGTTTCCGCTGCGCGGCCGCGGGAGTTGCGCCCCCCTTTCCCCCCTCTCCGCGCTCCCAACGCCTTCTATTTATAGCATCACTGGTCTCTCCGGACACAGAGCGGGGCTGAAAGTTTCGGGCTAATGGGTGTTGAAAGGCTGCGGCGAGCGTTGGAAAAGGCAGGAAAAGACCTTTAGGGGTTATTTATAAACGTGCATTTATCGCGCGTGTGTTTTTATCTCAGTAAGCAGCCCCAGCGTTCGGGGTATCCCCGGCGCCCAGCCGGGACCCGCGTGGCCGCAGCAGTGTCCCCGGAGGGGGGCAGCGATCGGAGACCCCGCTCCGGAGCTGCGGGAGGGCACAGCTGAGGCCGGGTTTCCCGCAGGGGACAGCGCCGGGAGCGCTCCGGGCGGCCGGGGAGCGAGGTCCGCCACAGACCTTTCCTTCTCGGTCTGTCGCACCGAGAGGTGGCCGGAGGAAATCATCCACCGGCGACATCAGCCCCCTTTGGGACACGGGCAGCGTTTGAGGACGGCTCCGGCTTCCTCGGAGGTTAAGGGCTCGGGTCGGCGCCGGCGGCACCGGGGGATTTAACGCGCCCCGCCCGCACCTCCGGCACTGCCCGGGGTCCGTGTCCCCGGCCGGACACAATGGGATGGCTTTGGCATGAGCCACCCCTCATCTTTCGCGGGGCCCTCGGGAGTGTCCCGCTCCGGGAAGACAGCAAGGATTGCTTTAGGAGAAGTGCGGGTTTCCCCCGACCCGTGCGGGTGCGGGTCAGGGAGCAGTTCCCGGGGGATGGGGGAATTCGATGGGATTTTTGCCTCTCTGGGCACCTCGGGCAGTTTCGTGGTTTCACCCTCGTGTCCGAAGTGCGCTCGGGGCCTGTCCCCGCCTGCTCCGGGGAGGCGGAAAATCAGCGCGTCCATTCCCGAAGGCATTTTATTGGTGTTAAAAGGCAGAGAGTGAAGAACCACAGCGAGCCCCACGCTGCCCATCCCCGCGGCTGCGGACAGCCCGGGCATCCCCCGGGGCGGCGACTGAAGCGCTTCAACCTCCGCCCGCAGCCGGGAGAGTCCGTGCCATCCATCCCCGCAGCCTCCCCCGCCACCGCCGCGCCTCCTCCCCGAGCCGGGATCGCCGCAACCGGGCAAACGCTCGCCAGACACTTTTCTGGAGAGGCAACTCTTCAATTCCGGGGGCTTTTATTGAATTACGTGTTACCAGTCCTAAAACGTTAAGCGTTATGTACTTAAAGGATACAGAGCATAGGTATTACATCCACAGGAAGTATTTTAGTCAGTGAATGTTCAATGTAGCAGGTAGAGATGAACTTAGCACGTCTTCCAGACTGAACTGGGAACAGACTCTTCAGCCATAAAATGCACTTAACAGTCTATTTAATAGTGGCTAGGTCCTTGAAAATGCAATATCCATGCTAATCTTGCCTTTTTCTAAATCAGAAATGAAAAATAGGTCAGGAAGGTAGAACCTTCCCCTTCCATTTAAAATGTGACATTTAATCTATTTAAATAACTAAGTAAACTTTATTAATCCGGGATTTGGTAAGCAAGCTGAGGAAGCGGGAACCGCGCGACTTTATTAAGACGGCAAAATGTGAGAGGGAGCGTCCTCGAACTCCAGGTGCAATAAAATCCCTGTTTTCTTGAGCTTCAGCGAAAAGGGAAAAGCCGAGACACACGAAAACGGCCCAACCTCTCCTGTCCAGGAAAGGATGAAAGGAAAGGTCCTGCTCTGCTTTACCGAGGACTCGGAGCATCCCCCGGGCTGGGATCCCCGGGTCGGACGAGGGAAACTCCGTGTCGCCCAGCGCCTGGAAAACGGCAGGAATTCAAGAGAAACCCCCAAACCCTCAGTAATTTATAATTACTTTATTAAATGCCAATATTTAATGGGGAAACCCAAAAATAAATCCATCTCCCTGCGGGCTCAGCTAGTGGTTTCTGACACGTTTACTCATGGTTTTGCTCGGCAAAGGAGAAAGCGAAAGAGCCGAGGCTGCTGAGGGCTCGGAGCGGGGCTCGCAGAGCGGCTCTGTGCCCGCTAAATCCCGGGCGGTGTCCTGGGGTGGGGATAACCTGGGAATCTGCAGATTGGGAATCTGCAATTGCAAACGCCTCCAGAGTTTGTTCCCCCGCTCGCTCCGGCACCACGGCTCCGCTCACAAACGAAATTCTGCATGAGCTGGAACTTTTTATGGCCGCGGGCTCTGCACCCCCGCCCGCCCTAGGAAAGACTTTCTGGTTATTCTGGCCGCATTTCACCCCGAATTTATGGATTTTTGCCTTGCCAGCACTCGGCTGCCATCGAGCTATAGAGCCGGGGTGGAGGAGAGGAGGCAGCGGAGCTCCGGAGCCTCCCGAGAACGCCAAGGGTTAAGAAAAGCCGTTTATCTGCTCATTATCGGCTTCTCCTTCCTCCCGAGCACCAAACCCCGCGCGTCTCCTACCCCGCCGTATCAATGTGTCCTGAATGCCTTTTCCAGTCATTGATCTGCTCAAAGTCACCGCAGAAACACAAGTGACAGAGACTCAATTCCAGGCGACGCGCCCGATGCGAGTATTTAGAAAGCATTCAATAAAAAAGCTTTCCCGGGGAGTGAATGATTTCACCTTGCAACAAAGAGCGCTCGGCTAATTGAAATCATGCACTTGAATGTGCGGCCGTGGGCTCCTGCTCGCTTATCCCAGCCCCAGCACAGAATTAGCAATAATCTTCAAGGAAAAATCCAAAAACTCTTTTTAAAATTTTTTTATTTTATTTATTTATTTTTTTTGTAATATTCCACAGGCAACGAGCGCGGACTCGGGAGCGGCTGTGTTATCAGTGCTCCCCGGCCTTGCTCTTTTGGGAATTCTGGGCATGGAAAATCCTGGAGGGGAGAGTAAAAGGAGAGGAGAGAGGAACTGAAATAGGAATCTGCCCTGGTGATTCTCCCCTGGGCTTAGGCTGGGAATTCACTTGTTTCAGTGCCATAAGGCAGCTCCAGCCCTGTGCGTTCAGGACACTAAGTTAGTTCATAACTGATGAATTTCTAGGATTATCCTTATTTTACAGACTTGTCATTTCCAGACATGCTGTCAAAATCCTGAAATGGACGCACTTTACTCAGCAGGAATATAAATTATTGAGTGTATCAGATTAGGTAAACTGTGTAAAATTTGACGGGCATAATCTGCCATTTTCCACAGGATTATGGCTCCAAACACCTTGGCAAGCCAGCAGACAGGTGTGATTTTTACTTTTATCTTTTTAAGAGAGCTTTCAGTCTCTTCACACAATCCCACATGAGGCAAGAGCACAAGAGGCTGAAATTAAGGCAGGTGCAGTAAGAAGGACCAGGATGTCAAAAATGGCTGGGATAGTGGAAATCAGCATCCTGCACTGGAAAAACATCAAGGGAGAAAAGCTGTCTCTAGTGTCATGCAATATTATATCTATAGTGCTTATATATTTTGAAAATAATCTGCATATCTGAAAAAAAGAGAATCACTTTGATTACAGTAATCTCTGTTTACTTTAACGTCCCTGTTCTAAGTGGTCAGATGTTTCTTGACCACATTTGTTTTTTGTAGCAGCTGTGCTTAAACCCATCATTTTAAGCCCTGGGATTCCAGTCCAAGGAGAGCACTGCTGCCAGCTCACCTGGCAGGTGTGCCCATAAAACCCTCAGGAGGTGGTGTTAGTTTTAAGAATAATCAGTTTTCTGTTCAGTTTCATGTCCTGACCTCAGAAGAAAAGCCCAGGTTGGATGGGGTTTGGAGCACCCTGGGATGGTGGAAGGTGTCCCTGCCCACGGCAGGGTGGAATGAGATGATCTTTGAGGAGTCCTTCAACCCAGAGCATCCTGTGACTCTGATTTTTGTTATGCTCTCTCCTTTGTCAAGAGAATGAAAAGGGGCAAGACTGAAAGGTTTGAAATGAGGCCTATGGTGCATCACAGAGATTCCAGAGTCTTCCTTGTGTGTCCAGACAGCCTCAAGGGATGGCCCTGCCTGAGCAGGGAGGTGGCACACGATGACCCCGCTGTGATTCCTTCCAGCCTGACCCAGCCTGGGATTCTTTTTTCCCAGATATCATCTCCAAGTTGTAAAGGCTGAGGAGCTGCTCCCCAGCTAGCTGGCATGGTAGGAAAATATGAATCCCAGAGTGGTTTGAAGGAACTTGGACCATCCAGTGCCTCCCCTGCCATGGCAGGGACACCTCCCACTGTCCCAGGCTGCTCCAAGCCCATCCAGCCTGGCCTTGGGCACCTCCAGGGTTCCAGGAACAGCCACAGCTTCTCTGGGCACCCTGTGCCAGGGCCTGCCCACCCTCACAGGCAGGAATTCCTCCCCAGTGTCCCATCCATCCCCGCCCTCTGGGAGAGGGAACCATTCCCCCTTCCCCTGTCGCTCGTCCAGAGTCCCTCTCCAGCTCTCCCGAAGCCCCGTTAGGCACTGAGGTCGCCTCTGGAGCGTCCCCTCCTCCCGGAGCAGCCCACAGCCCTCCCGGCCCGGCCCCATCCATGGCGGAGCGTCCCTGAGGCGCTCCCGGTTCCCGCCCCGCGCACGCGCAGAGCCCGCCCGGAAGGCGCCGCGCAGGCGGAAGCGCGCGCGCCGGCCCGAGCCCGGTGAGAGCCGGCGGGACGGGCTGAGGGGAGCCGGGACGGAGCGGGGCCGAGAGCGGCAGCGGGGCTGAGCGGTTGCTGAGAGCGGCAGCGGGGGCTGAGCGGTGAGGGGGCTGTGCGGCGACGAGGCTGAGGGCGGTCAGGGGGCTGTGGGGTGACGAGGGTGACGGCGGTCGGGGGGGCTGAGGGGGCTGTGGGGTGAGCTGGCCACGGGCGCTGAGGACTGAGCGGGCTGAGGGGGCTGAAGGGCTGAGGGGTGTGAGAGGAAGCGGGTCAAGGGTTCTGAGGGGGCTGAAAGGCTGAGGGGTGCGAGAGGAAGCGGGTCGAGGGTTCTGAGGGGGCTGAAAGGCTGAGGGAGGTGAGTTCTGAGGGGGCTGAGGGGCAGCAGGGTCCGCTGGTGGCCGGGGCCAGCTCGGGGGGGCTCGCAGCTCGGCCCCGGTGCGAGCCCTGGGGGCTCTGGGGAGGCCGGGCTGAGCCAGGGGTGAGAGAAGGAATAAAGGCATCTCCTGACAGAGATTAGGGAATTAGGGAAACAGCAGGGTTGTAGACAGCTATTGCTGCAACAGATAAAATTCTTCACTCCGTGTGTGTGTTTTTCAGCTGCTGAAATGTGGTCTTTTAAAAGAAGTTCTGTTCAGGGCCGCGCATCTGTGGCTGAGTTGTGTCAGCTCTGTGGGCCAGGGCTGGGTGGTTTGTACTGGTGGTATTTATCCGAATCTTCATTGCAGACAGTGTGTAAGGATAGCGTTTCTTTGGGTTTTTTTTAATCTGTGATTTTCACCTCATGCTTACAGGTGGGATTTTTGAGATCACCTGATCAGGTGTTGCACATCCAGGGGAAGGTGAAAAGTTTGGGATTGACCAAACTGGCTTTATCATCCCCTAAAAGTTATTCCTAACATTGTTACCCACAGGATACCAAGAATTAAGAATTCTGTGCTTTAGAATCTAATAAAAGCCTGGCTTTTTGTTATAGGTAGTATGGAATAATTATTAAAGGTGAAAAATAAATAGGAAAGAGCCACATTTGAGAAAAGAGAAAGAAACTCAATATCCCAGAAAACAATTGTTATTCCACATGTAGGGAATGGCAAAAGTAAATGAGTGAAACAGAGATGGGGGAGTCTGTAGGTGAGGCTGGTGCTATGTAATAATTAAGAAGGTATAATTAATTAATAATGTGGCAAGATAGAAAAGAAGGACAGCTGTATCTTTTATTTAGATAAAAGTGCCTCCCCTGTGGCTGAGGCACAGGTGAAAACATGCAAATATCAGTGTTCACCTTCCTACCTATAGATGGAGATCTGCTGCCACAGATTTTTATTATTAATTAACTTCTTTTTTCCCCTTGGTGGTGGTGTTGGGTCACACATTTCTGTGAATAGTAAATAAATGTGGGCAGAGTTGGAGAAGAATAAGCTAAACATGCCTTAGATGTTGCTTGTCTGTAACTAAAACAGCAGCTCAGTGCTTCTTTATGGGATTTTTGGTTTTGGTCAGTAGCAAATGTATTAAACTCACTTAAATCAGAAAATGCCTTTTCTGCAAGGAAAGTCTGGGGCAGCTGTATCCTTCAAGGCTGGAGCAGTTTCTTCCTCACATTTTTCCTAGTTCAGTCTAAAATTTTTCTGATTCTTTGGGTTGAAGTTTGCATATTCTGTAGTTAGTTGGTTTAGATTTTTTTTTTTTGAATAGGGCAACATAATAATTTTCCTGTTGCTTGGTTTCTGGGTTTCATGCACACAGCCTTCAATTTGACAATATTGACAATATTTTTTTTACCGCATCCTTAGTGTGGTGAAATGAGCTTGGTGGGACAATTGCTTTTTGGGGGTGGAAGGATGGAGAATAATATCTCCTGAGGCCAATTAACTTTTAACTAAGTTTTATTTTGTTTAAAGCAGCAGCGGTGCCTAGACCAGACGTGCACTTTGCATCATCTGGCCGTGGCGCTCTTAACTGAGGAGAGAAGCGGCATTAACGTGACACCGGCTCGCTTTTTAACCCCTGCCTGTTAATGATGCAGCGAGGTGTTAATGCAGGGGCTGCTCAGCGGTGGTGGCTGAGCTCAGGGGGCTGCCTGCTGCTGCTGCAGTGTCCCTGCTGTGTCCCCAGGTGCCTGGAGGGTGGCAGCCATGGAGAAGTGGAGCCTGATGACGATCTCGGTGCTGCTGGCGCTTGCCGTGCGCTGGGCTGTGTCCCTGGGCTCCTACTCAGGTAAGGCTCCTGCACAGGCTGCAGCAGCCTCGGGGAGAGGCTCGTGGGGCTTGGCAGGAATGGAAATGAATGGTTTTTACTGCTAATTTATTCTGTTGGTGTTTGTATAAAATCATACGTCAGGAGCGATGTGTTATTTCAGTGAGTTGTTATATTTAAGTTTCTCTTGGTTTCCCTGAGAATTCATTTTTCTTATTTTTTGAAGTGTTGCCATGATTAACATTACAGTTTGGAGCAGAACACTGGAAAAAAACTCCATAACTTTTTTTTTTTGGGTGGTGCTGATGATCATTCATGTTTTAGGATCAATATCTGGCTGTTTTCCCCTGTGCCTTTATTTGCAGAATATTGAAGTCCACTTGTACATTTGCCTCATACTGTCTTTTAAATTCTGTAGCAGACATGACCTTATTATTTGTATTTTTATTTAGCTTATATGTAGCTAATCCTGGTGCTAATGAAGACAGTGCAGAGGTGACATGGAGTGAACAATGACTCTGCCTTGTAGCTGTACCTCCTTAAGCTTGTTTACAGCAGCAGCCAGGGCTACATTCTGGTAATGGATGAGTTTTTCTCCTCCTCGTGTCAGAAGGCTTGCAAAGAATTAGCAAGTTCCTTTCCAGGCCTCCCAGTTCCATTCCCACACTTGGAATAAGCTTGCACAAGGCTTGCTCTCTGCAAATTTAACAAAAGATAAAAAATGAACCAATACTTTCAATCCTCATCAGCCCAAAGAATCACAAGTCAAATTCTACTCTGTTTTTTTTTTTTGAGGCAATGGGGAGCCTCATCCCCTGAGCTGCTCAGGAGCATTCTGGTGATTTTTAACTGGTAATTCTGACCTTCCTTTACTTGAAGAATTTGCTTGAAGCTGAACTGCATTTCCAGTTGTTTTGGTTTGAGTTTGCTTTCTCAAAATGCCATTTCTGAGAGGCCTGTAGGTAACTGAGGTTTTACCCATTTCTAGGCAGGAAGCACCCTGGCTTCAGGCACACACTGGATTTCCCTTGCAGTGCAAGAGGATTTATTTAGAATTCTGTTGCTAACTAGATTTCTGTAAGTTGATTTAATTTCAAACCAATCAAGATTGTGGAAGAGACTCTAAAATAAAGCCCAAACTAAAATAACAGTTTTTAAATCTTATTTCCTGCACAGTGCTGATATAACTTCTTTTGGAATAGGAAAAGCTGAGTCTGATCCAGTCCAGCAAATTATTAAAGCTTGACTTTGAGCATTGGCTGGCTGTAAAAAGACAAACCCCAGTGTTGGAGCTGTCAAACACATAAATCCACTGGGATTTTTTTTCCTTTGTCTTCCTGCAGATGTAATAAACTTTTAATTCCACCCTCATTTACTGTGCACCCTTGGATCTCTGTCTCATGCCCACCCTGTTCCTTGCCATCAGCTTGCTTTTGGATCTGCCTCTGGAATTCAATGAAGAAGCAGAAACTAATACCTAGTTTTGAAAAGTTACCATTAGTGATGGCCTGGTCGTGGAGAATTTTACTGAGGAAAAATTTGGGTTCATAGGTTAATGCATAATTTTTTAGTGCATGTTCAAACTCCTGCTAAATGCAGGTATTGAGAGGCAGCTTCAAACCCTTAAAAAAAAATCTGTTCCCACATTAACAATAAAACTGAATTAGATCACTACTTTTAAGGTGTTTGTGAGCCTTTTAAAATAAAACATTCCAGTTTTATTATTTTTTAACTTAGTTTGTCTGTGTACTTGGTGTTTTCTCTAGATGGAAGTTAAATGTGCTTTGTCAAACTAACTGATCAGTAATTGGCTTTTAATAATCAAACCTTTGGATTAAGATATTTTGATCATTCTGAAGCCAATTAATTTTTTTCATCCCTTTTTCTCCTCAAGATCAAGAAATTGTTACAAACACTCTAAAATTTGGATAATATCCATTTTGTATTTCAGTAATTCAAATATCCATTTTGTATTTCAGTAATTCAAATATCCCTTTTGTATTTCAGTAATTCAAATATCCATTTTGTATTTCAGCAATTCAGATATCCATTTTGTATGTCAGTAATTCAAATATCCCTTTTGTATTTCAGTAATTCAAATATCCATTTTGTATTTCAGCAATTCAAATATCCCTTTTGTATTTCAGTAATTCAAATATCCATTTTGTATTTCAGTAATCCAGTGGCACATTCTTGGTTCCACTGGACTTACAGCTACAGAACTGACTGATGAAACTCCAGTGACCTCACTTATTTGGGAAACTTTAATCTGAATGTGTGAGAGTGGAGATAATCTGCTCTCTCCACCCCGCAGGAAGAAATTAGCAGAGATAAGAGGTCCTTTGCACTTTCTGGGAATAAATTGCACATTGCTGAGCTGGGGGATTCCCACAAACATAGATCATGGCTAAAACCACAGATGGCTTTCCTATATTTTAAAGAACCTCTTAAATCTCTGTCTGGCTCATGTCAATATTTCACTGGGAGCACAATCAGTCCAGGTTCTGTTCTCAGTGAGCAGGTTAATAGAGGTAAATAAACTCTGGGAAGATGCTTTGCATGCTGCCATTACCACAGTTAGGCCTCCATCACAGGGAGTATTTGACATCTGAAGTATTTGCATTGAGAAAGCTTTCTTTTCCATGAAAATGGCAAATATTAGTATGATGATGATATTAATAGTAAGACACCATGACATGGCTGGAACAAGTGAGAATATTGACAATTATCACACACCAAGGGAGTGCAGCAGCTCCCACAGAATCACTGTAACATGTCCATTATGTGCATTTTCCTAGTTCAGGGAAAGTACCACATTTTTCATCTGCACTTGGAAATGATTTTTTTTGTCAGATGAGGAAGCAGTTCTTCACAGCAGAGTATCTTGATAAATGCTCATTGCAGAAATCTCCAGAAAGCCAAAAGAACACATTACTTTTTTTTTTTTTCTCTGTTAGACTGCATGATGAGGTCTCTATTTGCTCTCGATATAGAGGGATGGAGAACAAAATTAGTAATTAATATGCAATACCTAACTGGGGGAAAGCAATCTATAAACCAAATAATGTCCTGAATGCTGTGTCCTCTCTTTTTAGGGGCAGGAAAACCACCTATGTATGGAGACTACGAGGCTCAGAGGCACTGGCAAGAAATCACCTACAACTTACCCATCAGGCAGTGGTAGGTGTGCCTTCAAAGGGAGAACAGGGGGAAATCCTGCCTGTGTTTTACACCTCTGAGTTCATTGCTTGCTTCCATGATCCATGAGATTTTTAAATGTGGGAATTCTGGATTCTAGATTTAAGTGTAGCGAGCTTCATTTGTACAGATGACGTAAAACAGGAGAGGAATTATTCTAAATGTTTTATTTATTTTTGCATTATTCCTAATATTCTTTAGAGTAAAAATTTAGTCCATATATGTGCTACAACTCAAATTGGAATATATTGGAATTCCAGCTCATCTTCCAGCAAGGACAGGGGTGTTTTGGGTGTGTGGTGTAATTTTTCCCTGGCTGTCTGTTGGGGAACAGACTAATCTCACAAAATAGAAAATTGATTCACTTGTGTTCTGTAAATGCATGTGAACTCTGCAGATGGCTCTGCATAGTGACCTCAGATCATCTTGTTGTTCCTATATTCTCATTTTGGTCCTTTTTTTTGCTGGGATATCCAAACCCTGACTGTGCCAGAGTTGGGATAAGTGGTGTTACATAATGATGGAGTTGGCAGCTTTGATCCACTCTGCTACACTGAACTGTGTCTCCTTAAAATGAGGAGTTACAGCAGCCAATGTTCCCAGGCATTCCCAGGGGTCAGATCAGACACTGCTGCAGGCTGGGTTTGGCTGAGGGGCTGCCAGGTGGGCACCTTGGGCTTGTATTTGCTCTCTGGTTCTATAATTGATGTAATTATTTTATATTTATAATTGAAGGGGGTTTTTGGGTTGGGCCTGCTGTGGGAATTGAATCTCTAATACAGCAAAGTGGGTGTTTGGAACAGCACATCTTGGCTGGTGTGCAAGGCATTGCATTCTAGAGTTTAAATATTGCTGGTTTATATTATTCTGTAAAGTCCTTTAGGAACATCTTTTTTATTCTGCTGCTAATTAAAACTCTGAAAGCTTCCTTACTTAAATATTACTGGATATATAAATGTTGGTTTTCTTTTTTTTAATTGAAAGCTTTATGGAAGGTAAAATGAAAAAAATAAACCCCTGAAACTGGCAAGTGCCCTGAAAGTTGCAAACTGTGACATTCTGCATGAAGAATCTGCACTGCCTTGGCAGGAGCAATCTTGAATTGTAGGATAAGAGGCAGAGATGCAACTCAAAGAAATGTGATTTATCATCTGTTCAGAAGACACTTCAGGCAGCTCATAAAGAATTCAAGAAATATCATTTACTATTATAAATGTCAAAAATTGGCTGCATTTGAAGAGAGGAAGTGGAAGAGCCAAGAGCCTGCCCCGTGGCAGTGGGAGCAGCCAGGCAGTGTTTCACATGCAGGTGGGAAGGGGCTGCTCCTCATTGCTGCAACTTCTCCTTGGCCAAATCCCTCTGATCTCATTTGGAAAAGGTGACTTTGTTTTGACTGCTGCCATAGAAATCCTGACACAACATAATCCCAAATGGGAAAAACCTTTTCCTTCCTTTCACCTGGGTTTGGAGGTAGAACCAGGAGTTTTTCTCTCCACTGAAGTGAGATTTAGCAACTTTTTTTCAGCCACAAATATGTGAACTCTGCATGCCTTTTGTTGTTATTTTGTTGCTTGAGACTTATTTAACGTGTAGTAAATTAGGCAGGTATAGATGTTGCCACCTTCTATTTTGGATTTGGAATGCATTTAGTTCCTTGGGTCAAAACCAAGCTGGAAATGTAGTCTTTAAACTGCATTTTATTTTTTTTAGGTACTTCAATACAAGTGACAACAACCTGCTGTACTGGGGCCTCGATTACCCACCTCTCACTGCCTATCACAGTTTTGTGTGTGCTTACATGTAAGTTCAGTGTTTGAAATCCTGTGTTTCATTTTTCTGCCTGGGTATTCAGCTTTCTCTACAAGCCACTGCTGGATCTGGGATGCCCAGGGGAAAGTGCTGCAGGAACAGGGAGCATTGCCTGGGAAAGCTCTCGTGTGTGCAGAGCCCAAGTGACATTTGATGAGTGGATATCATGTAAATAGAATTCTGTTATTGGAATACTTTTTCCACAAGGGCTTTGCTGCTGTTGGAATGAGACTTATGGAATAAGAATGTAGGTTAAAGTGCACAGGCACAGCTATGTGGGGCATCTGTGTGAACTGTAAATGGTTTATATTTAATACTTAAGCATGAAAGGTATTTACAATTGTTTTTTTTTAAAGTCCCTGGAACCAGACTGGAGGTGGTTATCTTGCCCTAATAAATATTGTATTCCATTTTTACTGTTTCCAAGGGTTATTTTTTTTTAATTGTGAAACAGTCTATAGTGTAAACTGATCTAGTGGTGAGGAAAAGCTTTCATTGATCACTATTGCTCTCTGAAATATTTCTTCTCATTCATCTTGATTCTTGGAATCTGCTCCTGTCTGTGTCATCTTTATTGCTGCAAGGAGTGTAAAGGGAAATGAGAACTGTCTGCATTTTGATGTGTCTGTACTTTGTTTTACAGTGCAAAGTTAATAAATCCTGATTGGGTTGCTCTGCACACATCTCGGGGCTATGAGAGCCAGCCCCATAAGTTATTTATGCGTACAACAGGTAGGAAGATTATATTTCCTTGGGATCATCCTGCACATTTGTCTTGCTTACTAATTCAGCATGTTTAATATGCAGCTTCTCTCTCTTGACTGGTTTATTCTCAGGTTTGTAATTGGGTGGTTTGCAGGTCCATTTCTGAGGCAAATTCCTGCATTGTTTCCTCTTCTGCCATCATTTGTGAAGTTGATGGATATGAAATACAGGAACAAATTTGCAACCCAATTAATTAATTAAAAGCTCTAAAACACAGCTGCTCTTTGTAGCATAGACTCACGTTTTAATTTTGAAAACTATTCTTGTTTTCCTTTCTATTCTGCTAAATAGTCTTATTTTTAGCTCAACTTGATTTTTATTGTAACATTATTTTACACGTAGCCTGGCATTTAGAGCTTAACCTCTGGAGGTATCAGAGATCTTCATTAGGAGCTGACCTCAAAGGCAGAGGTGTTTGATATTATTACTGTGAGCAAAAAAGTAAAAATTTATTTTACTACTTGTAATTTCTAAATTTGTCTTCCACCATTTGATTATTTTGAACTACAAAAAAAAAGCAGAAGATTTGTACCATAATTTGGTGGCTGCAGCAGTAGGACAGCAAACAGTGTGGCCAGTGAACTCTTGTTTTTTGTTACTATTTTCTTTCTTTCATTTGAAATGTCTTTTGCTTTTTCTAACACAAAATGCTTTCTGATTGCAGCAGCAGAATTTGTTGTTCATCAATAGCTCTTCTGTGCCTCACAAAGCTCTCAGTCTGCTCTCTGGTAATTGATTGAATTGAAAAAAAATAAAAATCACTAGTATTTAATTACCCTTGAAATGGTCTTTATTAATTTTGAAATCAACTCACTTGACACAACACTGATGGATCTGGAGAGCTGATAAACACTTTTTAACAGGGGCCATTAGAGGAGTGCATTAAAATAATTCAGGGTGGTCAATGGCAGCTTTACTTTAAGCTTCAGTGTATTTGTTTTGCTAACACCTTGGTTATATTTGTTCAGTTGTGGCTTAAGCTGGCAAAACCATTCATCCCTGGATAACTGAGATGTTTAAACATCTCCTTTCTCTCTTGGAGCCACTGCACATTTGCTGAAAGTGGTTTGTAGAAATAATCTGAGGGGTTTTTTTTGACTTTTTAGGACAACTCAAGAAGAATTCACCTGCTGGACATGCCCTGAGCAGGGGAGCCTGTTGGCTCTGTTTTCTTGCCCCCTCTCACAAATCCTTGCTGTAGGCCAAATCCCTGCTCTCAGTCCCTTCATCCCCATCACTGGTAATTCACACAGAGACTGGGATAATCTGGGATAATATTAGGACAACTCAAGAAGAATTCACCTGCTGGACATGCCCTGAGCAGGGGAACCTGTTGGCTCTGTTTTCTTGCCCCCTCTCACAAATCCTTGCTGTAGGCAGGTGATCAAAGCCAAATCCCTGCTCTCAGTCTCTTCATTCCCATCACTGGTAATTCACACAGAGATTGGGATAATCTGGGATAATCTTCCCTGTGCCCCAGCCCCTCTGTGCTGTCCCACAACCTGGGTGCAGGCAGGGCTGATTTCTTTGGGGCATTCCCAAATGCCTGCCCTGCTTGTGGCATGTCAGGAACTAGAGAGTGACTGAGGCTGTGCCAGGAGCCAGGACAGCTGAAAACGTGGAAGCAGCAGCTCTGGGACATCAGAAATGAGCCTGAGAAACATTAACAAGATCAAATTCTGTAGACCTGGTTCTTTTTGTCCTTTGAAGTGGAACTGCCCAGTTTATTTCTGATATTTTGATGTTTATTTGCCTGTGTTTTTTCCTTGCCTCCTCCTTGTGGGAGGATTCTAATGGAAAGTTAATCTTTATTTTTCAGTGTTTGTTGCTGATCTGCTGGTTTATATCCCTGCAGTTATTTTATATTGTTTTTCCTTGAAAGAAACATCTGCTAAAAAAAAGGCAAGTACCTGGTGTGTGTAAATTAAACAAAGAAAACACTGTTAGTACAGAGTAGGAGTGTAACTCTGAGTTAATTAACACCTAGAACACCCTGATGGCTTCCACTTAACACTGATGGCAACACTATAGCTCATATTATAGGCTTTTCACTTTAAAACATTAAAAAAGCCTTTATTTTATCTTACAACAATTATTTTAATGCTTTAAAAAACAAGATTTTCAAGATCTTAACAAGATTAATTTATTAGTTGAGTAATAAAAAAAACCACCCAAAAAACATTTGTGGGGTGGCACACTATAGCTCATATTATAGGCTTTTCACTTTAAAACATTAAAAAAGCCTTTTTTTTTCTCTTATAGCAGTTATTTCAATGCTTTTAATAACAAGATTTTCCATTAATTTATTACTTGAGTAGTAAAAAAAAAAATTTGTGGGGTGGCAGGGGGGGATTTGGGAACTGCTTTGTCTTGAACACTCCTTACAGTAGATTTTGGAATAACAAGTCTCCTGATTTTTGGAGTGGTTTAAGATGGGTGTAGGTGGTCTTTGAGCAGTTGTAAAGGGAAGGCAATATTCAATATTTTCTAATTTATGGCAAATCTTTATTCCTCAAAATATTCCTGACAGATGATTACTTGTAGAGAATAAGATTCCTACCTACAGGATGCACCATGGAGTGGCACATTTGTGTACTGGAGCAGGAGTAGTTCCTCTGCCTAATGTCTAATTTTGGACTAATTATTTTTCCCCTCTCTTTTTTGATCCTTCTTGCCAGGTTTCCAGTGCTCTCTGCATCCTGCTTTACCCAGGCCTCATCCTTATTGACCATGGGCACTTCCAGTATCCTTGTTCTGCATGGAAATGAATTCTGTTTGTGGAATTACTGCTCCTTAGCACTTGTTAGCTGAGCATGGGGTGGCTTTGGTGTACAGAGTCATCTGGGGGGTTCTGCCCACCCCAAACAGAGATATCAAGGAAGCTGCAAGTCTGAAACATATTGCAGATAAAAATTATTGATATTGGCACAAATCAATCCCAACATGAATATCATTCTTCCCATGCCTCCAGCTCATCTCCCTGTCAGTCACTTCACTGCAGGCAGCATCAGTGGGGCTGTGACAGGGAGGAGAGTGATGGGTTGTGCTCCTGTGATTTGTGTGTGCAGAGGGAATCCCCTTAGATCTTCCTAGGATGGCAGAGCAGTGGCAGGTGGAGCTGTGTGCAATGTTCAGCTCTGTAAAACCTCCCTTTCCCTGGCTGCACAGCTCAGGGAGGTGACTTCAGGGCTGGCTGGTGACACCTTCACAGGGGCTCTTTGATAATGACAATCCTGCTTTTATACTGGTTTTGTGCAGGAGCAGCCCAATGCTGTCAGCTCGCCCCGTGCTGGAGGTGCAGGGATTTCCTGCAGATTTCTGTGCCAGCCCTGCCACTGCCATGTGACCAATGCCACCCTCTGAGCAGCTGCAGCAAGGCAGAGATTGCTTTCCCTGAGCTGCTGCACCTCTGCACGGTGTGAGCTTGCTGATGTGAAATCAATGAGGTGTCAAATACACCTGGTGATGTGGAGTGGGAAATGTGAGTGGGCTGAGAGCTCGTGGGCAAGCTGGATGTGTTGTCACAGCTGCTTAGGTTGACAGAGGGAAAACAAAATATTGTGACATTTCTGACAATACAAGAAATACAAGGGACAGTTTACAAGGGATGGAGTGACAGGACAGGAGGGAATGGCTTCCCACTGCCAGAGGGTGGGTTTGGGTTGGATATTAGGGAGAAATTCCTCCCTGGGAGCATGGGGAGCCCTGGCACAGGGTGCCCAGAGCAGCTGTGGCTGCCCCTGGATCCCTGGAAGTGCCCAAGGCCAGGCTGGAGCACCCTGGGACAGTGGGAGGGGTCCCTGTCATGGGGTGGCACTGGATGGGCTTTACAGTCCCTTCCAATTCAAACCACTCTGGGATTCTGTGTTTACTGATTTTTCTAAGTTTTTCAAAAAGCAAGTAAAAACCAAAGCTTTTGTTACAGTTTACAAAAATTACAAAGCTTTGTTGCAGTTTAATAGTAAGTGTAGCTTAGACTCTTCAAAATCTTCTGAGCCTGGGAAGCTCTTTGCAAAGTCACAAGGCAGTAACGTTGTTTTTAGCAACTATTACTCATTGTTTGAGCAGGATTAGCAGTCAGGGAGAACTGGTCATGGATGAGGGTGCCTTGTGTGTGTAACAGAATCACAAACCCTTCAGAAGTCCTTGAAGGAAATTATAGATAATTTAAACACTGACATATTTGAATATTCTGCACTTATATTGTGGGAGCTGGGAGGGAAAGCTTGTGAGAGCTTTATCATTACTCATGTAAATACCAAGAAGAAAATGTTGCTTGTTGCAGAGGACTGTCACTGCCACCAAAAGCTGGGTTGGCTGAATGCCTGTGTAATTACCTATGTAATTAACACACACAGAGCTTGCCCTCAGATTTGCCTGGGCAAACTCTGAATCAAACTTGAAATATAAAAATGACATTTGCAGTGGAAGTAATTTTTTTATCTTTGGGGGCAACATAGTCACTACTGGCAATGTGTTCTTAAAGGTAACTTGGCAAAACTCATTTTACAAGCTATTTCTGCTTTCCCTCAGGGCATTGGAAGGAATTGCTGCCTTCCAGAAGTGAGATGTGTATCTTGTCCTTGACATAAAAAACCATATACAACTCAGTGAGCCTTGGCTTGGCCCTGTGGGCTGTCCTTTGTTTGTCCCATGACTGGGACCTCCTGGGCTCCGTGGCATTTTGCTTGGCCTTAAATTATAAGCAAATGGAGCTCTACCATTCCCTGCCCTTTTTTTGCTATTTACTTGGAAAGTGCTTCAAGAAGGGACTGAAAGGAAAGGGGTAAGTGGGTTTAAAGTGTTTTGTCTTAGGAATCAGCCTGGCATGGGGAATGGGGTTGTCCTTGTCTGCAGGAGGGCATTCCTGGATTCGTTTCTGTGGGAGGTGGCAGTCCTGCAGGGTCTGTGGGAGGTGGCAGTCCTGCAGGGTCTGTGCTGGCTCTGTGCTGATGTGCTGTCCCGCTGCAGGTTGGTGCTGTTGGCTAAACTGGCAGGGACAGTGCTGGTGTCCTTCGCTGCCTGCTGGCTCCCGTTCGGCACCGACGTGGAACAAATCATGCAAGTACTCAGAAGACTCTTTCCCATTGACAGAGGCTTGTTTGAGGCATGCATGTTTTCTTCTCCCACCCTGCCCTGTCCTGTATTCTTAGATCCCTGGAGAAACCTTCAGGCTGACCTTTAGGATTTCATGGGGGAGACAGCGCAGGGCCAGTAACTCGAGACGGCTTCTTCAGCAGTCGTTTCTTGCCAGTTATTTAATCCAGTGTTTAACCCCAGCTCAGCTGGCATCTTCCAGGATATTATACCAGGAGACAACACTTATCCCATCATCAAACCCATACTTCAATCCATACATTTTTCCATTGAAATAGATTCCATAGTAATTGACAGTGTCAGAAGATGTAACCTTGAAAGTCAATGGCTTCGGCCTCTTGGGTTCTGCTCCCCTCTTTTCAATGGGATTAATTATTTTTCGAAAATAATGTTTAAATGGTGTTTTAGATACAGCCTAGAACTTCCTTTTTGACTCACCTTGTGCAGTTTCCACAATATTTTCCGAAAGTTTTAGGCCACTGCTGCTTTTGGTTTTGCTCAGGCTGTGGACACGCCCGTGCTGAAGGAGCTGAGCCTTAATCCAGTCACTCAGTTCCTCATTTACTGAATGGCAATGCCACAGGAATTTGGGATAAAAGAAAGGGTTCTCATGTCCCAGGTCACAGGGACTTGCTGCTGTTTTAATTGGGGCACAAGTCAATATTCCACTTTTTACAGCAGATCCTCAATTTCAGGCTTAACCTAGGAAATGAAGTTTTGAACTTTCAGGTTGTCACAAGCATTAAAGCAAATTCTCATGTGTTTTGATTAATCTTAATTATTCTTTTAAACTTTTTCAGATGTAAATAATATCACAAGTGACACTTTTTTCCTCCCAGAAGTTAGTGCTGATCTACTAAAGGCAGTGGAGGTGTTCTTAGTGAACTCTCTGCTGGCTAATTTAAAAAAACCCAACAAACACCAAACAACCTCTCCAAAACACCCCCCAAAAAACAATGACCCTTTTCCTTGAGAATTTGGAATTTATAAAGGAATCATTTTGCTCAGCACACCTTTTACTGAGTACCAAGTTTAAAAATCAAATCTTTAAATGACAATAACCAACGAGTCTGAAAGAGCTGGAGGATTTTAGTCTAATATTAGCCCAAATATTTTCTGAGCTGCTCAGGGCAGTGACTTGCTGGATGCTGATGGAGATAAAATGAGAATTTGTCCACGTAAGCAGCGCTCAGTAACTTGGCCTGGGGTGTGACAGGTTCTGTGCAGCTCCCATTTGCAGCCAGGGTGTGCCAGTTCCCATTTGCAGCCCGGGAACACTTGCTGGTGGCTGGAAATTCAGGCTGGCTGTGAGGAGGAGGTTGTGGTGCTGCCAGGGCTGTGTTCCCCGGAATCCCCGGCGGATTCCGGGCGCTGGCAGCGGGGACGGAGGGGGCTCAGTTGCTGCTGGGAGTTGTGTCTACACAGCTGTGCCTCCAGCAGCTGTCTGGGGATGAGTTTCACCAGCAGGAGAGCTGCAGTTACAAATTTAATTTTGAAAGTGATCCTAGCACAAGTGCTAATGTCTTTAGACTTCTTGATTTATTGGGGGTTAACTCTGTCAGTGCTAGCAGGCAGCGAGCACGGGCAGGTACGGAGGAGAAAGGATTCACACGGGCCAGGGTTTGCTCAGGGACAGTTTCACAGCCTTGCTCCACAAGAGGTCTGCTCTCATGGGTTAAGTTGTCATCCTTGTGCTGAAGAACTGTTTCTCACTTACTTTAGAGCCTGTTTTAATTGGTTCTCTTGAAAATTTCCATTTTTGAAGAGCAGAATCATCCCCAGTGCATCTGAGAACGTGATGTACTCCTGCAAGTGTTACTTGCACTCTCATGGCAGAAACCCAATAATCCCCACCTCCCAAGCCCCATTGTTCCCACAAACATGAGTGTATTTATATATAAATATCACTGATTGCTGTTTCATTTCCTTCCAGGATAAAGTGGCCAATATTTGGTGCAGTCTAAGTGTCCTTATAAAGATAAAGAATGTAATATCCCCTCGAACTCAGCTGAAACTCAGGTAAGACATAACTGGAGTGCCTTAGGTAGTTTTTGTCTGCAATATTTTTTTCAGGAGTAAGTTTTCTCTAATTGTATTCTTTCCTATACTGTATTTTTCTGACAAGTCATGAAGGAGAAATACTGGGAATATTTATGACTGAAAAATTCCCTGCTTGTTGATATAGTGATTTAAGCTGCTTGGTTAAAACTGAGTTAAAATTTGCAAATTCAAAGAATTCAAGTATCTTTCAATGCTCTTACAAGTCAGAGCTCCCAGTTCTCCTTGACTCAGTGAAGAATTCAGGTCTGGCTCTGCAGAGTGAAGTGTTAATGTCTGTAGTCCCTCACGTATTAAAACTGTTTTTCTTCCCCAATCCTTTAGTTTTGCTATAACATTCCTGAGCCTGCTCCCTGCCTGTATCAAGCTCACTGTCCAGCCTTCCCTGCGAGGGTTTAAATTTGCCTTGGTGAGTGTTTGCTGTTCACTGCTCCTTGTTTTGTATCCACCACAAGCACTGGAGGGCAACCAGCAGTGCCAACAGCCCTTGTGCAGGGCACAGAGGGTGGAGCCATCAAATGCTGAAAGAATTGGTTAAAAAGTGTTTTACTTCCTCAAATCCAGGACTCTGACCTGGTCTTTAAACCCAGACTTGTTCCTTAAGCTCAGTTTTCTTTATTTAACTCTTTATTTTTATTATCTTCCTCTGAAGAGCCTTTGGAAGATTCCACACACATTTAAACCTCATCTAGAATTGGGATTTCTCCTCTTTTTGTTTGGCTTCCAAAGTGCCAAGTTTTTCCTCCTTCACTGGCTGCAAAATTCCATTAAAAATTCCCCAAATGGACATTGTGAGCTCATGAGTGGTTTGAAAATAAAATCCCATTTTCCAAAATGTTTGCCTTCTCTTAGTCTCATCATTGAATTGAAGCACATTGCCATGACTCCCCTGCAAAAACTGAGTTCTCCTTAAAATCAAAATTGGATGGAGCTGGGTCCAAGTTCCAGAGTTACAAGACGATTTCTCTTTTTAGTTGTACTACAACATTACCTAAAACTAACATTTATCCCAAGAACTGGTTGGTTTTACACATTTTTATTTGGTGGGGGAATAAAAAGACAATTTGTTTACTTTTTCTGTTGGCTGGTCTTGATGAGGAGCAAAATTTCCTGTCAAAAATGGGGGTAATTCTTACCAGGAGTGGGATTTGCCAGTGCCTGTGTGTGGGAATATTGTGATTCCTTGCTCTTGTCAGGGAAGCTGAGCAAGAGTGAGGCTCTGCCTGAAGGGCTTTGGATGTTTATCCAGAATTAGTCACAAACAAGGTGGTTTTGGTAGGTGAGGGTGGTCCAGGAGCTGCTCTGGGTGCCTGGGGCTTGCCCTGCAGGAAATGCAGCAGCTCATGAGAGAACTGGGCTGGTTTAGCTGCTGCCCCTCGCAGAGCCTGCACCTGCAGACAGCAGAGCTTTGCTTTGCACTCACGGGCTGACACATCCCTGCTCTCTCCTAAGGTCAGCTGTGCCTTGTCCTTTTTCCTGTTCTCCTTTCAAGTCCATGAAAAGTCCATTCTTCTCGTGTCAGTGTAAGTAAATAATTTTTCTGTGAATGAAATTGGATCTTTTCCTCGTCTGCTTATTGCATGCTGCTTTCACTTACAAATAGACCAGATTTCAGCAACTCTTCACATTTGCTTTTCTAAATCACTTGTAAGTGAAGGTGTGCAAGTACAGCCAGGCTGGTCTGTGCTTTCAGTGCTGCCTGTGGGGACAGTCCCCAGCACTGCTGTTCCCTGGGGATATCCTGCAGGGACTGGGAGTGCTGTTTGATTAGGGAATAGTTGATGTTTCTTTTTCTTCCTCTCATTCTAGCCCAGTCTGCTTACTCATAAATGAAATCCCCTTCATGGCCACATGGTTTCTACTTGTGTCAACTTTCAGGTGAGTTGGAGAAACTGTTAACAGAGCTGTGGAGACACTGGGGACAGGGGATGGAGGGACAGGACACAGGGAATGGCTTCCACTGCCAGAGGACAGGGGTGGATGTGATATTGGGAATGAGGAGTTGTTCCCTGGCAGGGTGGGCACAGGTGCCCAGAGCAGCTGTGGCTGCCCCTGGATCCCTGGCAGTGCCCAAGGCCAGACTGGAGCAGCCTGGGACAGTGGGAGGTGTTGGGGTTGAAAGAGGATGAGCTTTAAGGTCTCTTCCAAAGCAAACCCATCTGTGTTGGCTTTCATGGATTCCATGAAAACCCTGTTCTGCCCCAGTTAGGGATAAAGGGATGAGGATCAATTATTTGCTGCTTTTCCCTCCTCTCCCTGGATGCTGCTGGCCTGTCCCCTGCAGCCTGCTGCCCCTGCTGCTGAAGGACGAGCTGCTGCTGCCCTACGCCGTCACCACGCCCGCCTTCCTGGCCGTGTGCCTGGCCTCCTTCTCCATCCTGGAGAAGACCTCAGCAGAGGACCTACAGCTCAAGGCCTTTTCCCTTTCCCTCAAGGGTTATGTGTCCTGGTTTAAGTCCTTTCCCAGGATCGTCAGGAGCCTGGTAAGCAAATTTTATTCCTTTACCCCTTCCTTGCAGCTTCTCCCAGCACTGAAGTACCAGTGGAGGGGGCTGTCCCTGTGTCGTGCCACGTGGAAGCGTGCAGAGCAGCCAGCAGTGAGGGGGCAGCTGAGCTGTCTGAGGTGTCCCATCACTCGTTGTGTTGCAGTTCCTGCTGTCCCTGTCCCTGATGGGACTCCTGTCAGTGCTCGGTGCTGCGGTGCCTCCTCCCCAGCGCCTGCCGGATCTGTTCCCCCTGGCCGTGGCCGTGGTTTCCTGCCTGCACTTCCTGCTCTTCCTGGTGTATTTTAATGTTGTGATACTCTGGGACTCCAAGAATAGAGGGCAGAAGAAAATCAGTTAATGCAGCTGAAGCTGCAGGACTGAGAGGGCTCAGTGAGAGGTGCCAGCACTGCAGAGGAGCCTGTGTGTGATGGACACAACTCGAGGAAAGCCAGGAAAAACTTTTTGCTTATTTAAACACAAAACAATCAAAGACTGTTTTAAAGGGGAAATATTTTGAAGAGCATTGGGAATGGGATTTGATTTGTTTTCTTTGGAAGTGTCATACTTTTGTTACCGTTTGTTAACCTAAAATGCTTAATAAAGGACCAAATTTTGAACTAATGCTAAAATACTGTATTAGCAAAAGCAGCATGAAGATTTCTCCTTTCCCAGGATAAAAAGCCCAAGGAAGTAGTGCAGGTCAAGAGTAAACTCGTGCCTGGCAGCACTGAAGTTGTGCTGATTGCTTTATGACACAAACCTGCTTTGTGGCATCAGTCACTGTCCCCCTGTGCTGCGGGTCAGCAGCTCTGGTGTGGCTCTGAAACTGCTGCAAATCTCTTTAACAGCACTGAAAAGCCAAAACTTTTGGTTCTACTGCAATAAAAGCTGAGGTGCTGCAGTGCAGTTTGAAAATACCCAAACCCCGTATTAAATTGCACAGCAATTTGCAGATGTAAACTGAACTCAACTCTGCAATTTCTCCCCGGGCACAGCTCAGCCTCCAAAGCCAATAATTCAGAAAATACAAATTGATTGAGTAATTATAAACATAACAAAGCATGGAGGAAGAAAATAAATCATAAAGCAATTTAGGGTTGTATAGTTTAATTAGGAGTCAGTCTACCCTTTTTTTTCTTTCTGTATCTATATATAAATATAAAAGAAGCTCCCCCCTTGTTTAAAGGCTTCCCCTGTCACATTCCAGGCTGTCACTGCCCTCAGCCTCGGTGTGTGAATCAGCTGTTCTGGGACCTTCCAGCTGGGCCAGTTCTGAGCCCTGGCACTGGACTCCCACAAGCTCCGTGTATTTGTGCACTTTTTTCCAGGCTTCTTTGTTGTGGAAAAAACACCGCCAGGCAACACTGCATCCCTGGAAGCTCAGAGTGGAAAAGGGGCTCTGGAGTGGGAACTAGAAGGATATTGGTTCAGTTTTCCTACACTGCAACACTTCCCTATAAAACAACAAAAATTCCATCTTTTCACAAGGATTTAGGATTTTCTGGGTGTGACTCTTAACTGTGGCATGCAAGAGCTCTGCCCACAGCACGGCCTTTCTGCAAGTGTGGGCTGAGTGGCACTGAGGGGACAGAAAAAGGACACAAAATAGGAGTCTTTGTCTCCAGAGGCTGTGAAATCCCAAAGCCACCGTGTTTTCCCCAAGGAACGGCTGCCTGAGGAAGGGCTGTACCGTGGGACAGGGAATTGAAGGTGGATGGAAGCAGAGGGAGCCCAGGGTCTCATTAGCCCCAGCAGAGCCCAGGCCCATCCTTCCCGTACCCAAACATTAGTTTTGGGTGTATCCCTTTCCTTTGTCCTTGAGGTGGCCTCGGGGGGTGATAAAGTGAGAGTCACCCGATCCACCTTGTGTGGAACTGGAAATGGTTCTTAACAGCCCCAGCTGCTTCGGAGGCAAAAGCCTGGTGCAGCAGGAGGTCACAGCCAGAGTGCTCAGAGGCTGGGCTGTGCAGGAGGGGCCAGCAGGAGCTCGCCGTGCAACTCCCATCCCCCTGAAAACGCCCCATTTCATACCCGCCATGGGGGAGTGTTCACTGCACTGCTGCCCTTCAGCACCTTTGCCATTGGTTCCTGAACAAGTTTGGTGCTGTTCTTGCAGGACTGCCCAAAACAGCTCCATTCAGACCAGCACGGTTGGTTCCAGACTCATCTGGGATCAATCATTATTTCATTTCCAGCTCCAGAGGTTATAGAAACTCTGGCTGGCTCAGGGACCCTCGGGGCTGGGGCACCTCACACACACACAGCCCCCAGCTGAAAGCCTGGCAGAACAGGGGAAATGAGAGCAGCTGCCACAATTCCCTCAAACACTTCCTCACCTTCTTCCCAGTCAGACTGCACAGGCAGTGAAGTGCAAAACCATTTTTATTAATTGAAAACTCCCAAAGCTTGAGTGTGTGTGTGTGCTCAGCCACACCCTGAACACCTTTATCACGCTGGTGCTCAGAATTTTAGTTGTAAAAATCAGTTTATTTGAGGTGGTAGAAAGGACATTCAAGTGTTTGTGTTTATGCTGGACTTTGATAAGCATAAATTGTTTTACTGCATTTTTTCAGACGAATTGCATGGATTTGAGAGGCAGGGGATTCATTTGGCTGGAGGGGTGAGTCTGAGGAGGAGGAAAGAGAAAAGCAGCTGGTTTGTAAAAAAGGCTGGTTTATATAAAACTAAACTCACATGTTGACCTAACAGCAAATGTTACCAGAGCCCTGTGTCAGTGCTGGGTGGGAGGCTGAGGCCTTTTTACCCTGGGGTTGACTTTAGAGGAAGCCTCACGTGGGTGACAGATCTGTGCCCAGCCATGGCAGCACCAGCAGGGAAAGTGTTTGCAAACAACTAAAACACATCCCGGGTGGGAATAACTAACTGCTGGCACTGCAGAGCTCCCTCCAGCCCTAGAGCCCAGGCAGTGCTGGAGAAGCCCCCCAGAGCCCACAGCACCACCCAGCACCAGCCCCACGGGCACAGGGCTGCACAGCACCCGGGGTGGATTATTTACATTGAGATTATCTGGTTGTGCACATTGTTAAGTTGAAATAGATGCCAGAAATGTTATCTGGACGTGCACCTGCCCGGCGCAGCGAGCGCTCCCCAGCTGGGATTTGCTGGGGAGATTGGTTTACACTCAGTTCTTCGCTCCTTTTAAGTCCAGTCCAGCAGATGGAGAAGTTTGGGTTGATGTGGAATGCATTTTTCACATAATGCCTGTGGGGAGATGAGGAATGACTAAAATAAATAGCAATTAGACAGCAGCATCGTCGTGCACGGGATCTGTTTGGAGTTATGGGTGTGATGTCCAGTAAAACACACACAGAGCCTCAGGCAAGGCAGGGCACCAGCCCCTCTGCCTGGAGCTGCAGGGACATTTGGGGATGTTTCAAGGAACAAGGACAAGCAGCCAAAGCAGCAACAAGCTGGGGAGAAACAGCACAGGATGTTTCAGTGGGGGAGCAGAGCTTCTAGAGATTCTTTGCTCAACACACCAGGAACAAATCCCAAGGGCAGAGAACACCTGATTCCCCTCAGGGCAGCCTGCAGGACATCCCAGAGCTCCCTGCACATGCTTCACAAGAAGTACCTTGGTCCTGGTCACTCTGGCTATGCCTTGGTGCTGGGCAAGGCCGAGAGCAGGCCCAGGGGCTCCTTCCTTCTGTCCAGGAATGAGGTGAGGAATGCAGCACTCCCGGCAGCCTGCATGTGCTCTGTGAACAAGGAAAACACAGAAACGTGGGATGTGATAGACAGCAGTGGTGTGATGACAGAATTTGTGCAAATCCTGCCTCACACACGAGTTAAATAAGTTGCTGTGGTGGTTAAAGAACCCAGCACCCCTTTTCCTTCACACGGTGTCTCAGCAGGGATTTCAGAGCTTGTCCTGGTGAGTGGCTGCACCTGTGTTCCATCACTGGCAGTGATGGCAAAGCAGAACAGAATGTGCCACCAGGATGAGAAGCTGGTGCTGCCTTTTGCTATCAATAATAAAAGAACAAATGAGAATCCCCAAGGGCTGTGCCACCAGAGCCCAGTCAGGGATTGAGCAGAGGAACTCCACCCTGGATCACCCACAGCAATCCCAGAGTCACCCACAGCCACCATGGATCACCCACAGCCACCTGGATCAGCCACAGCCACCCTGGATCACCCACAGCCACCCAGAGTCACCCACACCTGGGCCCGCAGCCGGGCGGGCCCGGGCCGGGTGAGGGTGAGCAGGTGGCTGGGACAGGCACAGGAAAAGTGTGCAGGGGCAGAAAGGAACTCGGGGAATGAGAACATGTGGGGAAGGCTCTGGGAGCAGGTGCCTGTGAGTGCCAGGGCTGCCAAATGTCCCTGCAGCAGATGAGCGGCTCTGCTGGAGCACCCCGAGGGCTGCTGGCTCTGGGGTGTTTGATTCCCCAGAGGAAGGGCTAAGGGAGAACTCAGGATGACACTGAACACACAGAGGGGATTTCCAGCAGCCTGAGCCTCTCAGCTCACACAAACCCAGCTGGGGAGGGCAGCAAACCCCACAGGCTGCTGGGGCAGGGCCTCCTCAGCTCCCCCAGCTGGCACACACTGATTCCACGGGGGTCTCACACTGCCAGGGAGTGACTGCACACCAGCACCTGCCCCTGGGCTGGGCAGCCTCCCCTGGGGCTGAGCCACACCAAGCCCAGGCTCTGTCCTAAGCCAGGACTCACAAGGTTATCCAGAGAAAGGAATCCAATCCAGCTTGGCCTCAGGTACCACTTTCTAGCTTTATTCCTAACGAACTTCATTTGTTCACACAAATTATCAACCAAAAAACCCCACAACTGCTCACAACAGGAAACTGTCCAATCTTGTATGGCAAGTGACAGGAAGAAAGTTCAGTTACCAGCTGCTTTACTTGTGCTGAATGCAATTCCATAAAGGAAAGGACTGATTTCCCTTGAAGCACAGATTGCAGCATTGCACTGTGTGCTGAGTAAAGAACCCAAACGTGCCATGGCCACCACGCTGAGCTCTGCCCAGCACTGAGCTCTCCTGAAAAACAGAAGCTGCTCAGATTCACAAAAAAGAAATACCACGGACTCAGCTTTGTTTTGCAAACAAAGAACCCTGGAATGGTTTGGGTTGGAAGGGACTGTAAAGCCCACCCAGAGCCAGCCCTGCCATGGCAGGGACACCTCCCAGTGTCCCAGGCTGCTCCAGCCTGGCCCTGGGCACTGCCAGGGATCCAGGGGCAGCCACAGCCTGCCCACCCTGCCAGGGAACAATTCCTCATTCCCAATATCCCATCCAACCCTGCCTCACCTCTGAGTGAGCTGTTCTTAACAACCCCAACAACCTTTCTCTCAGGGTTTTTCCATGCAGAGCTCCTAAGTTCAGCTCCATCAAACCAAAGAGGGCATTCAGGAACCCCTGGGTGAGGGTGGCAGTGAGCAGAGCAGCTGGAAAGGGCTCAGGGAGGGGACCAGGAGGTGCCTGGGCTGTGGCAGAAGCTGGCCCAGCCTGTTGCTCTCCTCAGCTCCAGTTTTAGGGTTCCCAGGGTCAGCAGTGGCTGGAGTCCCCCAGACCTGCTCCAGAGGGTTGGCACAGCCATCCCTGCCCTTGGACCACACAGGCACTAAAAGGGCTCAGTCTTCCCAAGTTTCCTTTCCCCTCCAAGTTCCCCCACCATCCTCTCCCAACTTTGACTGCTCTAAAACATTTACAGATCTAAAAAGCAGAGAGAAAAAAAATGTTCACCTGTCGGGTGATATAAAACCAATCTTCTACTAAATGTGCCAGAATAATTTTTCTCCACCTCAACCACAGTTAAAACCTTCAGTCTATTCATTACTGTCTTTTTATAGTATTTTTATTTAATAAAACCTATTAAGACTACCATACAAATCTCTTTACTTATGCTTTTATCTTTTAACTGATCAATTTTTATATTGCTGACATCCCTTCTTCACCATTTGCTCATTTAAAAATTCATAGTATATGAGCTATGTCTCTGGAGAAAACGTCTATAAAATTTGTTACAGCTGGCAAATGTGTATGAGTCAGTGATAGCACATGACTAAATGCTTCACAGAAAATAAAATTTGTTTCTGTAGTAAGCAGAACTGTTTAAATGTTATTTATTTTTATGTTTCAAAGAAAATATATTGTGAAGTGCTGCATTGATTTAATACGCAGCAATGTCTGTGTACACGCTGTACTGGGGAAATTTATGAAACCTTTGCACAACTCCTTTAATTGAATTTTCCAAATCTCTCACCACACACAAATAATCAATATCTTCTGCAGAGAAAACCAGTCAGAATTATTACAGTCTTTCTTTTCAATTTTGTTGTCATCAGCACATACAGAGCACCTGGATATTTGTAATGTCTGGATAGCAAGTTATTTACACCTCTTAAACATATAATTGCTACTAAGTGAGTCCAAACTAATGTTTCTTTTCTTTTTTATTTAAAATAATTATATTCATGGGAGAAAGCAGTATTTATTCTCATGTAGGAGTTGCTACATGTTGGAAGAACTACAATTCTTTTGAATTTTTCATTAAGCTTAATACTCTAAACTAGATCCACCAGAATTAAAAATTCATAGCTGTTGCATCTCTAAAAAGGCACGTAGGAAAATAGAGTGTAAAAACAAGGGTGAAATCTGTGAATAAATGGGGCTGACACCTAAATCCAAAATGCAGGTTGACAGTTCTCTGTGTACTTGTCTGGGGCCTCCAGTCATATGTCTCATGTGCATTTCTGTATCTGCCACTGCAGTTAATGGCTTAATATTTCATCTGCATAGCCCAGGGTGTTCCATCACTGCAGAGCCCTGGAGCTGCCCCCTCTCCTTCCTTCCATCCCAAACTCCTCGTGCTGCTGGGCCCACACCCCACACTCCTCCAGCCTCAGGCTGTTTGGAAAATTCAGGTGTGGGTACAGCCCCAGAGCCCCAAATCCTGCTGGGAAGGAGCAGTGGGGAGCTCCCCCAGCTCCTGGGGCCGGCAGTGGACAGGATTCCTCACCTGTGCTGGGAAATGCAGCCTGGGGGGGCCGGGCTCAGTGGGATCTGTTCCCTCTCCTCCTCTGGGAGGGACCCCCACGGGCACAAACTCAAACCCACAGAATGAGGAGACATGAATTCAAATTTAGCCCGAGCAACAACAGCTTTTCATGCCCAGGACACAAACTGGGCAAACCACACACCCCCCTGGGGCAATCCCCACTGAGTGAGGAGCTGAGATCAGCCCTGCCCAGGTGAG